GGCCTTGGCCAGAAGTTGGGAATGTCGTCAGTTCTCTCCTGGCCAGAGGCCAGGGTTTTGTCCCCCCACCAAGGTGCACATGAAGGTGTGGCTGACTCCAGTCCTGACACTGACCCCTCTGAACAACCTTGGAACTAAGTCTCTGGTTTTTTCATGGTGGAAATGGATTCTACCCTGTCCCTAACTTCATCCATCCCCTAAGTGATTTTAGGGACTGGTTTTGGGTGGAGACCTAAGCTACTCAAAACATTAGACTCTATCATCTCTTTCCTTAAGCATTAATTCAGGAGGGCCTGTAGATCAGCAGGCCAGGAACCTAACTTCCCCTGCCCACAAAAAAAGCTGACTCAGCAGAGGGCATGCTGTAGTGACAGGAGGAATAATTATCCCCTAAATCTATAATGTCCCTTTCCTTCTCAGATAAGCCTCTCTTGTGCAGCACTTCCAGAACATACATCTTTGCAGCACCTGGGGCTCGCCTGCCTTTCTGAGTCCTAACTTAGAAAAGGGCACTTTCCTGAGCCCAATTTCCTGGTAACACTAGCACAGGTGGCCCAGGACTACAAGCAGGGAAGGACCACTAGCCAGGAAGAAACCTAAATTAGACAGGTGGAGAGAGTCAGCTCTAAGATGACCTTTGAGTGCTCAAGGAAGAGCTAGAAATGAGACGCCCTCTGGTTAGTGCTTGGGCAGAAGTACTAGCAAAGCTGCAGGCCCTGGAGCAGGGGTGGCTGATTGTTATATATCACATTATTTAAAGGTATGTAAGGCGGTGGTAAGATCGTCCAGTAAATCAAGGGCTTGCTCTGCAAGTACAGGAATCTGAGACTGATTTTCAGAAACATACACACACACACACACACACACACACACACACAAGAGAAAAGAAAAGAAAGCCAGTAGGATATCACATGGCTGCTTATTACTGTGTTGAGGAGGAGGAGAGCAGAGCCTTGAACTACTGTACTTGCTGAGCTCCAGGCCAACAAGATACTGACCCCTCCCTACTCCCTTCCAAAAAACGTGGAGAGTGCCTGAAGACCACTACCTGAAGTGGTACACAGGGCAGAGGATGCCCAACCAAAGCCAGAACCTAAGGTCTATTTGAACAGAAGAAGGCTAAGAAGTGGCAAATCTTATTTATTTTTTGGGTCCCACATGGAGAAAGGAGAAAATGATTCTCCTAAGTTGTCTTCTAAACTCCACACATACCACAGCCTTCGCCTATCTCCTCAGGGAACCAAAGTGCTTTCCTTGCAGCAAAGGAAGAAAGAATCGTCTGACTGCCAACAGGAACCCGGAAACGTGGACAGGGCGCCGTGTAGGTGACTTTCATCAAGGATCAGTTGGTAAACTTTAAGGAAGGCAGACGTGAGGAGCTGGCAAAGAAGGCTGCCCGAGCAATCATGAGCAGCGGGAGCCAGGCACACTAGGCCTTTGCACTCACCCTCCCGAACCAGCCTCTCCTCAGCCCAGCTCTTCCCACTAACCTGTCTGTGTTCACTCTTCTGATGTCAGATGTTGCTGACACATCCCTCCCCTGTCACAGCTGAGATTTCCTGGCCTGTCCCACAGAAGCCAGGGCCACAGGCCTTGTTTCTTTCCAAGCACCCCACATGGAATGGATCGGGCACTTTTCTCTGGAACACAGCAATAGGGTAAGGACTAGGCTGGATGCCTTCAACACAGCTCCTGACTTAATATCTCCCACACCCGAAAGCATGCAGCGGGACTGCCTGTCCCTTAATTTCATGGGATCCTCTCCATCCTGAGTCTGGAAATGGGTAGAGGCCTTCCCTTCAGCCATTGCTTCCCTAGGCCCTTCCCACCCTCTGTTGAATCCCTGCCTTGGCTAGGCACATATCAATGGATGTGAGCCTTTTCTCCACAGTGTGACCACTTCCAGACCTCTGGTCATTCTCTGCCTCTCACCTGGGAACCCCAGCCCACGTCACAGCGCTTTGCTGTAGCTGTTTGAGTGGTAGGCAGTGTGTCCCGTTCTCTTGCTGTTCTCTCCATCTCAACTCTCACCTCTTGGATCTTGTCTCTCCTGGACGGTGATGCTGCCAGTAGCCACATTGTCCAGCAGTGGGCCCTGTTCACTCTTTACTCATGCCCAGCTTCTCACTCACAGCACTGAGTCCATAGTCACTAGTGTGACCAGTGTCATCCTTCCCACTTCAGCCTGACCCCTCTCCATGATGACCTGGACCTCCTTCCGGGTCCCCACTGGCATCATCTCTGTATGAGCTTCAGTCAGGACGATCATTCCGCTCACCTCCCTGGAGGGCAGAACCCACTCATCTAGTGTGCTGCTGGTCTGTTTTCCTAGTGGATATCTTAATCCTTTAAACACATTTGTTCAGTTTCTTTTTAAATTTAGGTGTATGAGTGTTTTGCCTGCATGTATGTATGTGCACCAAGTGTGTGCCTGGTGGCCGCAGAGATCAGAAGAGGGCATTGGCTCTCCTGGGACTAGAGTTATGAGCTGTGGTGCTAAGTATCTAGGTCCTTTGCAAGACCTAGTGTTCTCGGCCACTGAGCTGCCTCCGCTTTAGTCAAAGGTTTGTAAGATTTGTGTGTGTGTGTGCCTGTGGGAGTCATGTGCACGTGTGCACAGATGCTGTCCTGTGGGAGTCATGTGCACGTGTGCACAGATGCTCTCTTGTGGGAGTCATGTGCACGTGTGCACAGATGCTCTCCTGTGGGAGACCAGCAGATGGTGTTGGATCTTCTGGAATTGGAGCTATAGGTTGTGACCCACTTGACAAGGGTGCTGTGAACTGAACCTAGGTCCTCTGTAAGAGGAGGAAGAGCTCTTAACCACTGAGCTATGTCTCTGGCCTTCCTTTCCCTTCCTAAATTCTCTTCATTTGTATGGTAAGCACATAAGACACATGTATAAAGAACATACAAGTGAAAAGCTACTGTGGCCTTGGATGGGCTCCATGGTACAGTACATACTCTGGGTTCCATCCCAGCACCTAACATGAAACAGAACCAACAGACCTGGGATGTAGCAGCATGTGTCTAAGACTTCACATTAGGCATTAGGACCTTCAGGTCATCCTCAGCTACAAGGCGAGTTTGAAGCTAGCCTGGGCTACACAAGACCCTTTCCCCTTCATTCTTTCACACTGAGAACAATCAGACAAACAAACCCAACAAAATGCCATTCAACATTAATTCTATTCTACAAAAGTGAATCTTACCTAACTACATTAGTAGAATAAAACATTGAGCATTTAAAGAGACTGGAGAGGTGAGCCACTGATTGAGGGCTCAATAGAGGACCCAGGTTTGGTTCCTGGTGTCTACGTGGTGGCACACAAGCACCTTTAACTCTGATTCCAAAGGATCTGATGCCCTCCTCTGGCTGCTGTAGGCACTGAATGCACAGGATACAGATGCATCTACGTAGGCAAAGTCTTACACATAAGATAAAAGGGTAGAGAGATTGCTCAGTAGTTAAGAAAACTGGTGCCTCTTCCAGAAGACCTAGGTTCTATCCTCAACCCACATGATAGCTCACGACCTACTACCTGTCCTTCCAGTCCCCAGGGATACCTCTCTCATTTCTGACTTCCACAGGCCCTAGGCAAACACTTGGCACACAGACATACATGCAGCCTGTATCAGCCAGGGTTTTCTCTAGGTCTAGAAGAATAGAACAGACAGAGTGGTTTACAGGCTCTGGAGTCAAGCTCATCCAACAGTAGGTGATACCTTGACAGAAAGTTCAGGAATCCAGAAGTGTTCAGTCCATGAGGCTGGATGTCTCAGCTAGTCTGCACTGTATGTTGGAATCCTCACGTAGGTTCTAATACCAGTGAAGGGATGCTTCAGCAGCAGGATACATGAAGTTACCAGTGAGAATGAGGGCAAGCAGGCAAAAAGCAAGTTTCCTTTTCCCATGTCCTTTACATAGGCTGTTGCTAGAAGGTGGTGCCCAGATTTAGGGTGGGTCCTCCAAATTCAAATGACCTGGATTTAAGATGAGTCTTCCTACCTCAAACGATCCAATTAACTAAATACTCCTTACAGATGTGTCCAGCTGCTTGGGTTTTTAGTTAATTCCAGATGTAGGTGACAACTAAGAATAACTATCATGCAAGCAAATAAAACCACCTATACGTATTTTAAAAGAAATCTTACATTTTTTTTTTACATTTATTTTGTGCTTATAGAGGTCAGAGGGCAGCCTGCTGGAATTGGTTCTCTTCTTCCACCATGTGACGTCCTGGGGTTGAACTGAGGTTATGAGAGATGGTCCCAAGTGCCCTGACCCACTGAATCACCTTCTATTTTAAAGTGAGAGCCAGTTCATATCTCCTTTCTTTTTTGAGGGCTGGATGTTAACTATGGGCCTTGCTAAAACCATGCTGGCCAGTGATGAGTTACATCCTCCCCAACCCCCAGTTTTATTTTTTTAATAAATCTAACTGCTTAAGACAGTTTTACCAAGTGGCCTGGCTACATGACTCACATATTCAGGGGACTCTGCGGAAGAACTGCTCATGCTATTTCATCTTTTCTTATGCTGCTGCTGAGATACGGCCTTTTGTCAGGCTGGATTGTGGGAAGGCCACCAGACTTCTGCTAATTTTGCGTCACAACTTTTCATTTGTTTCTCTTAGGTTTTTAGGCAAAAGTTCCCTGAAATGCAGTTTCCAGCCTTAAAACGTTGATGTCTCATGCCTTTTTGTTTGCCATTATGCTCTCTGTGTTGTTCCACATTAACTTTTAACTCTGAGAAGACACTGGACAATGTTGGTGAGGGAGAGGGTGGGCAGAGATGAGGACAGTGAAGGGTCCTGTCCCCGCTCCTTCTGAGTTGGCCCATGTCTTGCTTAACTTGTGCTTGCAGTGGAGGAGAGGGAAGGGCAGTCAGTCATGTGAGGGTGACAGGCCTTACTTCTTTTGTCTGATTTGCTAGCTGTTAAAGCTGCTGGCCAGTCAGGAGGAACGTGTGGTCTGCATACCCAATGTTATTCAAGGAATTTAAAGGCCAATTAAACTGGTTTTATTCAAAGTAAGTCTACATTAAATTACAATATTAACAATCTGTAGACACAATGAACTTAAAGTATAAGAAGTAGAAATAGAAATCTATTTGGTCTTTCAGAGACCACATCATAGAACTCATAAATGAAAATGTACAAATACAGAAATGGTACTTAAAGAGTCAGGTTTAATATGGGGACCCAAAAGATGTCCTATCTTAAACATGCATGTTTCAAAAAGGGAGAATCCTTTAATAATTTAGCATAAAATCGAGTTATATAAACTTGGTATATTCCAGAAAATATTGCTTTAAACACTTATACATGATCAAAATTCCTTTGGTAGCTTTTAATCAAAATGAAACATGCTACTTTGTAAAATATAAAGTACTTTTAAATGTTGCAAAAGTGTCTGTCATCATCACCATGCCAACACCACGATGGAGCCTCGTTCTCGCTGCTCAACCTCATGTGCACACACACTGTGTCACCAGGAACCAACAAGTCCTTTGGACAAACATAACTAAGCTCCATATAGTGAGTGCCAGGGCAGAGATCCAGGATGGTCTCTGTGCAAGACTATAAAACCAGGCCCAATTTTATTATGGTAATCACACAAACTGCAACTTCAACAGTCAAACAGCAGTCACCCCAAAGCCAAAACCAGGACCTCCACACTCAACCAACATGGAAACAAACATGAAACCCCCAAGCCCCTAAACAAACGACAAGCAGCCCTCTGGGTGAGCTGTATCTAATGACAGACATGATGTCCTCTTGGCACATCAGGGACCTCACTTAGAAACCTGATTTATAGAAGCCAAAGTTTCCAACTTTCTGAAAATACACAGAAGAGAGGCCAATGCTCAGGGTGCAGAGAGCCGAGTGGCAGCCTGGACGGTTTCTTCCCAGTGCCCACCAGCCCAGGGCTCTCTCTCTGAGTCTGCATCTGGGGAAGAACACAGCACCTAGGGTATTTCCACTGTGTCCCACTATCACACACACAACAAACCAAGCCTGTGGCTTTCTGCCAGAGGAACAAGAGCTTGTGAAGGAACTTCTCAACGCAAAGTCAGAGAGTAACAGAAACAAGAAAGAAGTAGGGGAAGAGCAGGGAGGAAGGATGGGTGTCATCTCAGAGTCCTTGTGCCCTGGGAAGGATGAGCCAAGAACCACATCCTCTGCTCCGAATCCAAGCGTCCACAGTTGGGGCAGCTGCGGGGACCGGGACACAGCACAGCAGCTTCACACTCTCAGGTGCTTCGTGTGTGTCTGTCTCTGGGAGACGGCCATCTGCTGGCGTGTCACGCCACGTAGTGGTATTGATTTGGACTGTCTTTGTCTCGTTCCATATAGTCTCTGTCTATAAGTGACTCAATTCTCTTTTTCAAATCTCCAGGCTAGAAAAGAGAAATCAGACATTTTAGGATAGGGTACTGAACCTAGAAACACAGACCCAACATCCTGCACGGAACATGTAAGAAAACTACACAATGCTAAAACAGATGTAAATACACACACCCACACCACTGATAATTACAAGATGATCATATTAGCATCCTAGTCTGAATAAACGTTTGCACAGGGATGACTACACCTGGCTTCTCCTCACATGAGCATGTAGACAGACCCGATATGTTGCATGCTCTCGCATATTTGGAAGGAAAATCTGATCATGTTTTGGTAGGGCATTCTTACTTTTCTGTTATTATTAAAAAATATATTTATACTTTTTCTTTTGTGTGTAAGCGTGTGGGCACATGCTGTGCACCTGCGTGGAGGTCAGAGGACAACTGGTGGGACTTGGTCCTTTCCTTCCACCTTCTGGGTCTCAGTGACTGAGCTCAGGTTACAGGCTTTGTGACCAGTGCCTTACCTACGTTACTCTCGGAGCCTTCATGCTGCTCTTGCTGAGATTCTGACACAGGTTTTTTTTTTACTCTATTGTCCAGGCTGACTTTGAACTCACTATGTAGCCCAGGTTGGATTCAAACTTGCAGCAATCCTCCTGTCTCAGTCTCTCCAAGGTAAAGGTTATAGGTATGCACCATCTCTAGCCATCTTCATCCTTTGTGAAGCACTTTTTCTATGTGCCCGATCCTATTCATTCCATACCTACCAGATATCGTATATCTACATAGTGTAACCACAAACTCTGAGTGTTCTAAGTTACTGCCAAAGTGTGTCTGTCACTGTCACTATGCAGGCCTCACCACAGAGCCTGTTCTCACTGCTTTAAACTTGCCATGTGGGTAGAACGCAGGTGACTGGCTGCAAATACCTGGCCCTAAAGCAGGTGACCACCCATACACACGTGGCCCTAAAGCAGGTGACCAGCCATACACACGTGGCCCTAAAGCAGGTG